TTTATGGTAATTTTATTGTTAGGATATTTTATTAATGTGTGATTGTTGTGAGGTGCCTAGATTATGTTGAAGTGGCCAGCATAAAGTATTGTAAAGTAAACAAACAACAATTATTTCTTAGTTCTATATACTTTTAAATAAGATTTGGACATTGTCATTGAGTCATTCTTTAGTTATATACACATACAGTTATATGTTCATATATTTCTACAGTTATGTTCATTACATAAATGAAATTTAAGTTTATATTACTATGTATTAGTTTGCTGATTCCTAATGAGAAATCTCCCTTTTTAATAAAAATTGTTATTTTGTAACAGTAAGAAATTAGAAACCTAAATATTAGAACAATAAGCCATAAGATGCTTGTTGCATGAATTAATGTTTAATGTGGACAATAGTAGGTAACATTCCATTTTATAAATCTACAGCTGTGTTTATGTTTACAATGCAGGATTGTATGGTCATAATCCGTCCAAAATTAAACACTGTAAAATAGTGATAGTAAGTGATAGAGTAAATCTCATTGAATTTACTTCCAGGTAAATTTATATAGGATTACAAGCATAAAGACTTGTTGATTTAAATGGGATATAAGCAAATGGCTAAATCTTTCCCTTGCCAAAAGGAATGTATATTAATTTTAGCTTGATCTTGCCTAATATTTGTGGTATTAAGATGAATGTCCCTCTAATTTTGGGGAACTCAAAACCTTTTAAAGTGTAGGCTGGATCCCTTTGAATCACTAGTTGATCTATAATGCCATCTAATGGCTGATTTTTGAAATGTATAAAAAAACGTTTACCATGAAAAAACATGCCCTTTCAACAATACAAATGCCCTTTACATTTTTGCATAAACCATATTTAAAGCCTCTTTGTTTTCATAATTGCTGGAGCATAAATAAATATAGCAGTAGTAAATGCTGTTGTATATTGCTTGATTTTTACTTGATTTAATTAGTTATATATTGTTAGGTTTTCTAAACAATAGTTTATCTATTGCTTTTATTCCAAAGTGGTTACCCACTTGGTATTTACCATTCTCTTAGAATTAGAACTGCCTTGGTTTTAATGTATCTAATTTGTATTTTTCTATATTCTAATTTGATACTCTTTTATTGCTATTTCACTTAGTTTTTAACTTTGTTGTTTTGTTGTTATCATCATTATCTACATGTATATTTGCCAGAGTTGAGGGATTATGAAACCCACAGGGACAAGAAAAGAATATCTCACCTGATATCCTGAAATCTCTGTACTGATTCATTGATATTTAGTACCTCAGCACACACTATGATCTGTAAGAGATGGAATTTTGGGCTAATGCAATTTCATTAATATAGTAAGAACTCTGTCAGCTATGGATTGGTGTGCTGCCAATTTGTTAATAAGGGCTTCGTCAGTCACAGGTGATAGAAGGAGGGGGTGAGAAAAGTCTTTACATTATGTCCAGAGAAACAATGACATTTTGCTTCCTTACTAGTCTCCATGACAGGCTGGGCCTTGGCCTCCCCCACCTTGGCTCATTATGGAGGGTTTCATTCCACAGCTGCCTGTTGTGATCTATCATCTCAAATCTTGATCCTAGCTTAATGCCTAAATTGTAAGTTGTAGTGAAGCTCATTGTATGAGAGCCAAATCTATCAATGTTACAGACAATAGCCCAAGACCAGACTAGTCAGTTACAACATGGGTAGCCATCACTTCTCCCATCCAGAAGTGTGATTTCCTCAGCCTGTTGACTGCATAGGTGAGAGAAAGACGCATAAAAATTGAAGTTTGCTACTGCTGTAAATAAGGCTTGCATTTTACACTTGCCAATTGCTAGATTTCTTCTTTAATGATTTCCATAGTTATTTTTATCTGCCCTGAAAAATATAACTTTTCAAATACAATTGGCCTTTAAAGCATGAGTATATTAATTGACTATGATGGGTTTCAGATAAAGCCCGTATTAGTTTCATTTGTACACAAGGCAGATAACATTTCACTGAGAACATTAATAATTAAACTATCAATGACATGCAGTGAGATAAATATACAGGGCCATATGCCATTGGAAATTGCGAGTCAACACTTTATGTAAGTTAAGGAAACATTTCAGATATAATTCTAGCTGTTTTATCTTATTAAATAATATTCTTAGGACTACATTTCAGTATAGTTGAAATTTGAAGTGTGAAAGAAATACTGATTTTGTATAATTAAAAAACTGTTGTAAAGAAGCATGTTTTCTATTTTAATTTGCAAAAGAAGATTTGACATAGTAAAATTTAATAAATCCTTGATCATTATTTATCTGTATGCATTAACTATGTTAAATCAAATTGTCTAGGCTTGTTAAAATTGTTTAAAGGATTAATAATCATTAGAAAATGTATCCTACATTTACTTTTTAAAAGTTTAATAGCTTTTAAAGCTATTTTGAATCATTACTTAGGATGTCAGTGTAGATGCAGTTAATGTCATCTGTATAATTGTGATCAATTCCTTGCATTTAAACTGATGAGGAGTTACCACTCCTTTCTGTAATGAACTAATGCTGTTTCTATTTCATTTATGCCAACATAAATGCTTAATGCTATATTGAGATGGTATACAGCGTAAGATACTGTACTGTATCTCATCCCTTTTTAATAATCCTATTATTTGGAAATAGAATGTTGCTTGATGCAATTTTTCTTAATTAAGTTATAGGTTTATTAAAGCTATCAGTGTAAAGTCATGTCTTCTATATTCAGGTTGTTTATACTCCTTAAAGATGGATCCATGTGTGCAAATTGGTACAAGATAGATAATTTCCAAAGGCATGCATTTGTCATTAAAGTGGTCTAGCTGAAGCTAAAGTTGCATATTTTAGGAACATCCTCTTTCCTGTGTTCCCTTAACCTCACCAAAGAGCATTAGGTAAAGCGCTTATACAAAGGACTATACAGGTAAATATACTTGATTACAGGTTTATAATTAATATTTTAATTGCATTAAATATGATTTCTACAATAATATCAATGATGCTTTGATCCTAGTTGTGATGAGCAGGATTCCTGTATATATTGATAGGAACACAACTTGCAATAGTGAATATTTTGAAAGACTGTTTAATTGCTAGCTGATCCAGAATATCAATACAATTTTTTGCTGTTTCCCTGCTATTTTCAAACTAGGATTATCCCAGAGTGTCAGTTTCTCATGGGAAAAGGATCAGATTTAAACTTCCTTCCTAACCTCATTCAAATATGTATTACAGCTTTTAGTAGTGGAAAAACAATTGAGCTCTGGTTAAACTGGAGCCAAGCTTCTAGCAAAATGTCAAAGGGGTCAAATAATAGTTGTGCCCTTAATGGTCTTTAAGAAAATTCACTTAACTTTCACTTAAATGGAACTTAATGACATTTGTACAAACAATATTATACATTTTTAAAGATTTTAAAATGTATGTTAGAAACTGTGTAGTGTGCTCAAATCACTTCAGCTATTGTTGGGCAAAACAGAATAATATTACGAAATAATAGTAACTGAAAAGATTTGCCCTTTATAGTCAATCACTGCATTTCTAATAGAAAAAGAGTATGAAGCAAAGTCCCTACCTAAATATGAAGAATGATTCATATGAGAAAAGACAATCCTTAAGGTATCTAGGTCTGTAGGGCAGAGATGCATAACTTGAGGATCTAGAACTACATGCAGCCACAAAAGCTTTAGTTACCACTCCCAAAGATCTCTAAAGTTTTATCAAACTGTAGCTTGGAATGTGTATTTTTTTTTTTTGTTTGGAGAGTAATTATGTTAATTATATTTAATTGTAGCTAAATAAATGAATCAAAATTCAGTTTTGTTCTCCAGATGCCCAGAAAAAAGTTGCATATCCCTGATTTAGTGCTTCATGTAGCTCTTAACTACTGCTACCATCTGAATATACAAAGAGCAACAGCAGATCATGGAGTAAACTTTGGATTTATGATTACATAAAACCATTAAATTTTAAAAATCATGTTGAATTGTTTTCTAAAAAAAAATTATTTCCACAGTCCAGGAATCTTGGGGCTTCAGAAGTCTTTTCTCTCCGATTGGTTATACAGGTAGTCCTTGTTCAACAACCACTGGTTCAGTGACCATTTGAAGTTACGATGTTGCTGAATGAGGAGACTTACGACTGGTCCTCATAGTTGTGGCTGTCACAGCTCCCTGCGGTCACATGATTGCGATTCAGGTGCTTGGCAACTGGCTCGCAGTCATATGATTGCCATTTGTGACCTTCGCTGCCAGCTTTCAACAAGCAAAGTCAATGGGGAAGGAGATTGCAAATGGTGATCATGTGACATCACACCTAATGACTGTGCAGGATTCGCCTAACGATGGCAACTGGAACTGCTGCAACCGCTGTTCTAAGTTGGTGTGGTCATGTGACATCACACTTTATGACTGCGTCACTTAGCAACAGAGTTGCCAGTCCTAATTACCGTTGTTAAGCAAGGGCTATCTGTATAGGAACTAAATGTTGCCTTTTTTCTGCCTTTCAGCCTGGCCTTGATTTGAACATAACATATTCCTCCTTCCTGAACAGCTCCACATACAGTTCTACATATAGCTGGCTTGTTAGCTCTGATGGTCCTAAAATTGCTACTTGCTGTTTTCTCTGATCCTATAGTCCAGGGTATGGCACTGGGATCTGCAGAAGCCAGCCAGAAACAGCCAATTGGTTTGGAGACCTCTGATCATGGTGCAAAAAGTCTGGCTCCAACTACTCTTTGGGATCATTGGCAGGGATATCTGCCTTCAGTGATTGGTTGATAGAATTTATATACAGAAATAATTGATGGCATTCTAAAATAAGAGTCAGCAGTTTGTCACTGATTGGTAGTGAAGTCAGATTTAAGTATTTAAATCAGAGTGTAGGTCTTATTATGTATTTGCAAATAATTTGGGGTGAGGTGTGATAATCTGATTATTATAAAATGTGTCGGCTTTCCAGTCTGATTATGGTTTTGTTTCTTCTAGTATCTCCTGAGGCAGTTGGATTTCTGTCAGCAGTTGGGGTACTTATCATCCTGCTGTTGATTCTTTTTCTGTATATTAACAAGAAGATGTGTTTTGAAAATATTGGAGGCCTCCCAGACCTCAATTCCCAATACAGTACCAGAAAAAATTCACAGGACAAACTACGTAAGTCTAAAATTCTATGATGTATGATTTTTAAAGACACAGGAAACTTCTAGAGCAGTAACACATTATGGAATGAAAGTCTGGCTGAAATAAAAACAACTTGTAAACTCCTAAATATTTTTATTAATGTATCTGTAGTGCTTGGTCAGAATTATTTATTTAGGGAAATTATTTCGTTTTGTTTAGTTTAAGAGTTGAGCTTTTAACACTGAGGAAAAAGCACATGGGTTTACCTGTCCCAAATATAGTTAATAATAATTAAATTATACCATCATACTAATGTATAGCAGAACAAATGTACTTTCCCAGGTATAAGGGAGAATGTTCTTATAGATTCCTCAAATGAGGAAAAGCTAGAGGTAGACCAGATGGTCCAACTGAAGCTCAGATTAGCTATTGGGTTATTTCCCTTCTGATACACTGGCCTTTCTGAGTACTGAATGTGCCAGTAGAAAAAAATGATATCATAGCCCTGGACTGGATGCTGCTGCAGCGTCCCAAAACACCATCTCTAAATGATGAGAAGAGTGGGTAGGTTTTGCCTTTTATATATATTTAGTGCAACCAGAAATTATTGAAGTTAGTCCCAAATGGACAGTGCCCTTAATCGAATTAGGATTCATTCTATGATCACAACACGTCAGTTTCCTTAAATCCACTAATTTAACTAGGCTTTTTTTTGTTTAGATCATATCCATGCCTCTAGAATGTTTGCAGTCTGGAATAAAGTCCATGTTAGGACATGCTTTATAAGTTCTTTATAGTAGAAAAATGCAGGGAATGCATGTTATTAATTAGATTATTGTTTTGTACTAGCCCAAAATATATACATTTTAGTATATTATTTAAATCTTTAAACTTTTCCTTTGCAGGTGTAGAGTAAAATCCAACACCTGCTGTTCAATATTTTAAATATTTGGTTATGTTATAAGTAGTTCATGTTTTACTATAATATTGTAAGAATCCTAGAAAATAATTGATTCTGGCTTCATAAAGAAAATATTTGTTCCTGTTTATTACTTTTAAGATTATAAAATCAGAAGACTAATTTTAACTGCCCTTTGGTTAAAGGTAAATAAATTGCAGGAGTGGTACATTCACAATATTGCAATTTTCTTGCAAAATATTAATATACAATTGAAATATGGCATTTTTCAAACATTTTCAACAAAATCTGAGTCTTCCTTCTGTGTCTTCTCTGGTTGACACATTAAGTAATGTTGTAGATGATCTTACTAGTGCTGTTGGTGATGTCAGCTACACAGTAGCTGACTCTGTTACAGAGCAGGTAACAAGCATGTTCAGCAGTTTTCGGACAGAAAGCACAACTACAGTGCAAGAAGATAAATCTCTAGCAGATAAAGATAAAAAAATAACATCATTAAATAATATTAAAGAAAACTTTGTGAGAGAAGAATGTATATTAGAAGAAAAACACACACAAAGCACTTCTTCAAAAAAATGTACAGATGACAGTAGGGAGTTTTGTCCTAGTAAAGGCAAAGTAGATTCTCAGAAAAATGTTTCTGAACTGAAAGAATTTGTTAATGAGACAGAAATTTGTCAGTCACATGTAAAACATGCACAATGCAAAAGTAATTACTTAGAAAAACATGTATCAAAAGCTGTTAGACAGAATTGCAGTACTTATAAGCCAGAGGAATGTCTTAATCAAGAACCAGATAGACAGTCACAAACAGTATCAAACCAATCTAATGAAAAGTTGTATAAAAAAGTAAAACAAAAATCACCAGAAGTTGACTTCAAAAACACTAAAGAAGTGCATAGTGTTTCATTCAGGAGTTTGAAAGCAACTGAGGAACAAACACCAGAACTGCCAGAATCAAGATCTAAAAAACTAAACCGTTTTCATAAAGTAAAAGGAAAGAAATACAAGACACTTGTGACAAAGCAGGAAGAAAATGCAGCATCTGATCTTTCAAAGAAAAGTGAAAAGGAAAAGACTAAGGACTCAGAATATTTTTCAAAAGAAGTGAGTAGTAAGAAGAAACCAGAAAAAGGTGAGGTGTCGTATCATAACCATACTTTATCCATTTGACCTTTCCTGGATCTTTTACTACATGCTTCTTTTCTCAGTTGTTTTAACTATTAACATAACATAAAACTATTCTTTTTATGATATGTGTATTTTCCTAGAGCTGTAGCTCTGCTTTTATGAATGAAAGTACAACTCATATAATGACTCCTTCTCTTCTCCTTTCAACATTTCCCAATTTTGTCCCTGTGGCTCAGAAGAGTTCTCTAATAAGGCTGTATAATACTTGGATTTGAAGGCAAAAAGGTGTTTCAGGGTATGCAGCAGCACAAATTTAACACTTGTCCGCTGCCACTCTTCAAAATAGGCAATGTTTTAGTGGAAAAAGATGCTTCATAGCCTTCAAAAGAAAATGCATTTCGTTTAAGGAAAGGTAGACAGGTATTCTGTTCAGGCTCCCAGGTACTCCAAAATATTTTGCATTCAAATCCAAAGTGATATACATCCCAACTTTCAAATCCTTTTGAGAAGTTTTCAGGCAAATACAGAGACAGTGAAAAAATGATTGCCTAAGTTGCCTTCTGTTCTTGCTAACACTGGATACAATTTCTGAATTTTGATTTGCATAATTTACTGATATACCTGTAAGGTTATTGAAACATTTTTCTGTACTGAACATTGCTATTTATCTTAAATACCAGTTATTAAACTTTTTTCCCATTTTTTCTTCTATTCTTCCTTGATTTTTATATGGATTGTATTGAATAAAAATAATATTTTCCATGGTTCTTTAACTCTAAATATATATGTTTGCTTAATACTGTATATACACAGATCAGGGTAGAGACTACAAAGGTAGGTTTCCCAGTGTTGTTCTTAAAATAAACCTAACATGTTTTGAGCTATTATATTACAGGTAATTCTCGAGTTACGACAGCAATTGGGACCAGTATTTCCATCACTAAGTGATGCGGTCATAAAGCACAATGCCACATGACCACATCGCTTAGCAACAGCAATCCCAGCACTCCCCAATGCTGTTGTTAACAGAATCCTTCAGGTCGTTAGCCAAGGACCCATCCTGATCCAAGCCATTTCCAGCTTGGTCCCTTCCAGCCCCAAGCCTTGGTTCTTCCAAGGTAAGGGACTGCCTCCCCTTCAACTCCCCCAACCGCTTATTCTCCCCCATCTCTGCCTTTTTGGCTGCCCTGTACCCTGCCTTATGGGGCAGCAAGCAGCCCCAAAACCACGTGACTCTGGGGCTGCTTGCCACACCATGACTCTGGGGCTTCTTGGCATGCCGCAGCTCTGGGACTGTGAAGCTGCAGCCACCCCAGCTAAGCCCAGCCTCGCAATGTGAAGCCGCAGCCTCCCCAGCCCAACAGCGCGCTGCAAAGCTGCAGCCAACCCAGGAAGCCATAGCCCCCCTGGCTCAGCCCAGCCCCATGGCACAAAGCTACAGCTGCCTCAGCCCAGCAGTGTGGCATGAAGCTACAGCTGCCCCAGGAAGCCCCAGCTGCCGTAGCTGCACCAGGAAGCTGCATCTGGCCCAGCCCAGCCCAGCACCACAGTGCATAGCCCAGCCCAGCCAGCAGCATGGTGCAAAGCCCCATCTGCAGCCATCGTTGCTGCCCTGCACTCTGAGGCCCCTGTGCTCTGCTGCCTCAAATGACTTTTGCTGTCTTCTTGCTCCTGCTGCTGACAAGGCGTGCCTGTGAGGCAGCTGCTGGCCATGCAAGGCCTTCTTCCTGAGGTCTCATGAGGAAACTGCCATGCACAAGCTCAGGAACAAAGCCTCATGTGGCCAGCAGCTGCCTAGTGAAGGGCCAGGCTGGGCATGCTTGGTTAGCAGCAGGAACAAGAAAACAGCAAAGGTTAGCTGGGGTGGTGGAGCACAGGGCAGCCGGGGCAGAGTGAAGGGGGCCAAAAGGGCAGAGATGGGGGGAGATAGGCAGATGTGGGTTGAAGTGGCCCTGCAGTCGTAAGTGTGGGCGGACTGCCAAGCGCCTGAATTTTGATCACGTATCTGTGGGAGTGCTGCAATGACTGTAACTTTGGGAACCAGGTGTCAGTACCATTTAGCCCTGCTGTAACTTTGAATGGTCACCGAACGAATGGTCGTAACTTGAGGAGTACCTGTATGTATCTATCAGAAATAATAGTAAAAGAGAAGCACCAACATAGAAAACAAAAAAAAGACTCATTTTAGACACACAACTCCTGGTGACTTCATGGAATCATCCATTATTCTGCATAGCAACAATATAGAACTAGTTTCCTGTTGTTTTCTTCCAGGATATTTTTTGACTATCCAATCTAGTTTGCAGCCTTGGAATTTCCTTGTGGTTTCCTTTTCAAAAATTAATAAGATCTGATTCTACTGAGGGTTTCTGCTCAAAAAACAAAACAATCTTAAACACATTTTCTTAACAAAGATACGTATCCAACAGACAGAATAATGTAAAGAACTGAATAAGCCCTTTCAGTTTCTTATTTTCTTTCTAAAAATCTGAGCATGAGATTTATAAACAACATTGAAATATGTTTATAAATCTCATATCCAGATTTTTAGAAAGAAAATGAGAAATTAGGAGAAAAAAGGGAATGGGGACAAAATGAAACACAAATGGAAGAATTAAATGATTCCAAAAAGCTGTAACAAAACTCAGACATTTAGGAAAATACCCCTGATCATTCCTTGAGAACCTGATCATTTCTTCACTAGAAGTTTTGTACTGTCTGAAGCATTAACAGAAATGAAAAATAAATGCATTTATGATTGTCTGGTTATTTTGAAATTTAAGCTACTCAGTGTTTAGCCAAATATAATTTTAAGATGGTACCATCTGTGATTTTTTTCTTTTTTTTCCCCAAAATAGATAACTTATATATAAATAAAGACCAGCATGGTTCATCATCAGAGAGTGAAGATGAGGCACTGGGTAAATACCATGAAGCCTTGTCAAGAACACAGAGTTCATGGCCACCAACAGGTGACAGTAGACAACAGAAAAATTATATTTGGGAAACCAGACAAAAATATAGCCCTTTGTCTGCAGAGTATGATGGATATAGTAGTGAAGCCTCTGTAGATGAAGGTATGACATGATTTACTATAGTTCTTACTTTTCATATTTATTAAAAAGTATTTTAAAGATGTTGCATTTGTAAGATGACAGTAGTATAGGTGACAGTACAACCTAAAAATGAGTGTAGTTTTGAAATAGTTAAGGTTTTGTGGGTAAAAAACTGGATGTTTAAAATCTATTGTTTGTTTTCTGAGTGCTTAGTGTATGTAAAGCCACTTTAAAGCAAGCAATTATCGTATTTTTCCATCTATTAGACGCCCCCATGTATAAGACGCCCCCCCCACTTTTCCAACCCAAAATTAAGAAATCAATATTTTAAAGATAGTGCAGAACACATTTTTATTTAGTAATTAGGTAACATTTACATGATTATCGTATTTTTCCATCTATTAGACGCCCCCATGTATAAGACGCCCCCCCCACTTTTCCAACCCAAAATTAAGAAATCAATATTTTAAAGATAGTGCAGAACACATTTTTATTTAGTAATTAGGTAACATTTACATGATACACTCAGTGAGAGGAGGTCCAAACTGTCTTTCTGCAGCTCTATTTCCATGCTCTTTTGCATCACTGATTACATTCAATCACGAGTGAAACTGCCGATAGCTTGTCTCTGCAAACAGACTTCCTCCAATCACGAACCTTATGTAACTGACGTCAGCTGATGCTGAACAAA